GTCTTCTTCAAGTACTTTGAACATTGCGTGAATGTGTACTTGCTCAATGTTTCCTTTGTCGTTATAGCGTAGTGCTTGTGCCGTGAATTCCGGTATGTCTTGTTCATGGTCACTTCTTCTGCTTAGTGCATCGGCTCTTCCATTTTCCGTGCCTTTGCAATGAATAAGTTCATAATCGAATTGTGACAGGAATTCGAAGTATCCGACTTGTCGGCTGGAGAGCTCTCTAGTGGTAGTGAAGTATGAAATATTCTTGTGATCAGTGTAGACAGTGATCTTGTGTTCACTTCCATGGCAATAATGTCTCCATTCTTTGAATGCTTGCAATATAGCGTACATTTCTTTGTCATAGGTGGGATATCGTAGCACTGGTCCATTGAGTTTGTGTGAAAAGAATGCAACAGGTCTGAGTTTGCCGTCGTCGCCTGGTTGACTTAGAACCCCTCCGATCGCGAAATTCGACGCGTCGGTCTCAATTGTGATAGGTTTCTTTGGGTCAAACATAGCGAGAATTGTCTTCGAAGTAATGGCCTTTTTGAGTTCTTCAAAGGCTTTTTGCTGTTCCTCCCCCCATTCAAAAGGTTTATCCTTTTTAGTCATATTGGTGAGCGGGATTGCTTTCAGCGAAAAGTCCTTGATGAATTTTCGGTAGTAATTTGCGAGTCCAAGGAACGCTTGTAATTCTTTGAGCGTGGTCGGTACTGGCCACTCATCGATTGCTTTGACTTTGTCAGGGTTCATGTGAATTTCTTCGGGTGTGATGACATATCCTAGAAAGTCAACTTTCTGAGAATGAAACACACATTTTTCGGGGTTAACAAGGAGTTTATTTTCTTCAAGCTTTTGCAGTATGAGATGGACGTGTTTCTCATGTTCTTCGAGGGTGTCCGAGAAGATCAGAATGTCGTCGATATATGCGATTGCGAAATTATCCAAGTATGGTCCGAGCACGTGGTTTATTCTTTTCTGAAAGGATGCGGGTGCATTTGTGAGTCCCTGTGGCATGACAACATATTCGTATAATCCATATCTTGTTGCGAATGCGGTCATCCATTCATGTCCTTCCTTCATTCTAGTGAGCTCGTAAGCTCCTGTGAGGTCGAGAGTTGTAAACCATTTTTTCCCATGCAGTCTGTTCTTGATTTGTGAGATCAAGGGTAGCGGGGTTTTGTCTTTGATGGTTATTTTGTTTAACTCCCTATAATCAATGACTAACCGTAGTTTGCCATTTTTCTTTGGTANGAAGATAATGGGGTATCCAACTGGGGATTTGGAGATTCGGATGTATCCCTTTTTGAGTTGTACTTCGATCCATTCTTTGAGGGTTTTAAGTTCCATTTCGCTGAGATTATAAATTTTGTGAAACTTTGGAGAGGCTCCATCTTTTAGGACTATCTCGTGGTCCCATTCTGAATGTGGTGGAAGTCCTTCTTCTAATCGTTCTTCAAAGAGTTTTCTGTACTTCCTATATTGTTTTGGAACTCGTGCTAGTGGATCGTCGGATTGTTCAATTTTCTTGAGTTCTTGGTCCAGTAGCATTAGTTCTCGGCGCAAAATAGCAACATGTTTTCGCGTTCTTTGTTCTGATGTCTTCCTTCTTTTCTCAACGTATTGAGGAGGTGTCGTGGTGGGCTTAAGGAAAATCTTAGGCTTCTGGCTACCTGATTTCCTTTCTTCTGGGATTTCGTTATTTCGCCAACGAATCTGGCCGGTTTCCCAGTCTATATCGGGATTATGTTTGCTTAACCAGGGTATCCCTAGAACAAGGTCGTATCGTGGGATATTGGCTATGTCGCATACAGTTCTAGTAATGCGATTTTCAATATTTATTGACAGGTGATCAGTCCGTCGTTTAATCCATCCGTCATCGTAAAGGAAGTGCGCTCCCTCTGCGTGTCGTAACTGATACTTTCTCTTTTTCTCATACGCTGGCAACTGCAGGCGTATTGCAGTTGTAGCAGACATATAGTTGCATTGCGACCCACTGTCTATTAGGACCGTGAGAGGCTCCCCGTCTAAAAACACATCGTACGACATTTTTTTGAATGTTCTTTTTTCTTCTTCCTCACTGTCGTATTCGTCGTCTGGTTCGAGAGACATAATGTGTTTTGAGTCTTCCTGTTGCCCTCTTACAGGAGACCGTCCACGTTTTTTGGATTATGCCAGTTTAAAATCTTAATTTCCGCGTGTCGTGCACATTTTGGATTTTTGCAGTCGAAAAAATCGGTTTCATTGCATTCTTCTCGGGCGTCTTCTCTTTCATGCCATGTGAAGAGTTTTCGAGCTTTATGATATTCGCAGAAGGCTTCTTCACAGACTCCTGTAAACTCATTCGGTTTTGCGCATTCTCCTTCTCCTAGGACGACTACCTTGAGAGATCTAAACCTCCACTTGACGTCCCATGATAAGAAGCGCATGCAAGAGTGTGTATGGGTGACAGGAAGAAATGGGATCCTAATAGGAAAGGTGTCGTGCTTCCTTTTGTCGTCAAAATGTTCCATACATCGGTGTGTAACACAGTCAACCCAGCTAACACGATAGTGTCCTGGATGGTCTGGATTAATACGATCAACATCCCCGAATCTTCTTTCGTAACCAAGGTTTTGTCGTAGGGCTTGGTCCAGCGTAACAGCTCGAAGGATGAGTTGTCCTTCTACTTCTTGCTGTTGGAGTTCGGATAACCATCCGTACAGAAACGAAGGAGTGTTGTTCTCAAAAGGTTCTTGGGCTTCAACGATGCAATTTTGAAATTTGAATAGTCGGTTAACTTCTGGGGTTGGGTTGTCATGTCGTCTCCAGATGTCATCATCACGCTTATAGTTGCGTCCATAGTTTCGCCATTCAAAATCTTCGTCTATCCCAGTATCTACTTCATCCGTGTTTCCAGTTGATTGAAAGTCTTCCTGAGGGATTGTTTGTCGGTCAGGTATTTCAAATTCTTCAGCTAGTGTGTCGGAATCATCCGATAGTTCAGCTTCCGACTGGTAGTAAGGGTATTCGTTTTCTTCTTCAGCTGTGAAGTCTCTTTCCATCATCGAGATGGTCTTGCTGTCTTTTTCCATGGCGTGATTATCTTTTGGTGGTGGAATAGTAGACTTTTTAGGTGATCTGCAGTTTCTTGCCATGTGGTTTGGCTTCCCACAATTGTAACATTTAAAGTCTTTCTTTTTGTTGTCTTTCTGAATCATGCCGATGTCCATAGGTCCTGGAGTACCACTGTTGTCTTTAGCAATTTGTTCATTGTTCCTACCTCTGTTTCCTTGGTCATTGCGAGTGCTCATGTTGAGTTCGTATAAGAGATTGTCGGCTTCGACGCATTTTTCGATAAAGGATAGGAGGTCGTGCTGAGTTCGGTCAATGTCGTAGACTTTTTCCTTGACGCTTTTCTTGAGTCCATCGTAGAATCGTTTGATGAGTGCAGCTTGTCCCCATTCAACTCGAGAGGCAAGGTCTCTGAATTTTACAGCGTAATCAGAGCATTTTCCTTTCTGGGATACTTCTGCAAGTTTGTTTTCAGCCATTCGGACTTCTCCAACGTCTCCGAATGCTTTCACAAGTTCTCTTTCGAATTCTTTGAAGTCATCAAATACTTTCTTGACGGCAGGCGGGGGATTAGTCGGATCCTTGAGATATTCATCCCACATAGGTCGGAACCACTTGAGTGCAGTTCCCTCGAGGCGCGATGCCGCAAAGGAAACTTTTTTGTCCTCAGTGTTAATTGTATTCTCAAAGTCCATGAAGTAGGCCCTGAGCTGAGTTTGAAAGGGTCTAAGTTCGCTAATCTTCCCGTTGAACATGGGAGGTGGTTGTCGCTTAATGAGGATTCCCATGTCCTTCTTGATTTCTTTTTTCTTATTGTTCAAAGTGTCAATTAATTGCTTGTTGACTTGGAACATATCCTGAAGATATTCCTTCAAAGCATCTCCCTCCAGATTGTTCCAGTCAGGCTCATGGCTCATGGCGAGATCGCCATCCACATCGATGAGTCTGATGGGTTCAGAGGTCGCGGCAAGTGCCGGAGCGATTTGAGGAGCTGCAGTGTCGTTTCCAGTCATGGTGGTTCGATTGCTCACAAGATTCCAAGAGATCTTCTGAACAAGAGTCGTTAACGTGTGACGTCCTGACCTATACTATCGTACTTAGGTATAGGGTAGGTTCCCAATCTATAAACTCAACGTCGGGTTTATGTTGGCAGAGAGATGAGTTGGAGTCTTATGAGCGATGCAGTCACGTAGCTAACGAGGTTATGAATAACCAATCTGATTGTTATCTGAGAGTGCTATGTTAACGACTGACTATCTAAGTTCTATCTAATGAGCGTAATGAACGGTTCTTATATAGTAAGTCGTTCCACGAGGCTCACGATTTCAATCGTGATCCTTCTAGGGTGGCTCACTTTGGTGTTCGTGATCCATCAGGGATGGCTCACGCTTCTACGAGTGATCCCCTTCTGATTGGCCCATCGGTCCGTAGTTTATCCGTGGGTACGTATCTTATGGTTGTTGGGTCGTAACATTATTATATTAAGCTTTACTTTATTAAATCTAAATAAAAATATATTATTTATTATATAATTATTTTTATAATATTTTTTTTTAAAAAATAAAAAAAAAATTATAGTTTTTTTTTATTTTTAAAATTAAAGGATTTGCTTTCTTTTGTAGTTATATAGCAGTTACTAGCCTGGGGGTAATAGGGTTAGTTTTATTTTAGTTATCTAGGGGGTTAATAGATGTTCCTATCTCCCTAGAGACCCTAGAAAGGTCTGTAAAAGGGTTTGTTGAAGTTGTTTTATCTAATAGCTAGTTAAACAAAGTAAGGTTCTTTGGTGGTTAGGCACCCAAAAGGTGGGGTACCTGTAGCTGTAGGAGGGAAGCTTGATCTCGACCCTACTTATACAGCAGTGGCTTGTAAATTCGCATCCCGAGTTGTATCCTGAAATAACTTCTTCTTGGCTTATTTCTTTTCTGGCTCTAATCTAAAACCTAAGAGCTATTTTACTAATTGCTGTGCGATTCAAGATAATCCAGATCAATCCAAATTAGTTCTCCTTGCTCCGTCTCTTCCAATTGTAAACAAAATAAGGTGCCCGCAACAACAGCCAGGAACAAAAATATAAAAATAAATGGCACAATTTCAACCGAGATTCCAAACATAAGACCGGCTATATAGGTACCTATGCTTTGCATTGCGCCAATAGTTGCGTACAACATGCCAATGTGATGGCCCCCGGACAGATGGCCAAGGAGGCTATGCATAGCTGGGCTATATCCACATCCAAGAGCATAGACGTAGATGGCTGCGATTACTATAGGTGACTGGAATCGTTTTGCAATTGCTATCCCCAAAGATCCGGCCACAAGCGCTACAACGCTAGCCCGTGAGATAGATATGTCCTTTCTCATTGGGCTGAAGCGGAGCTTCTTGATAAGGAGGCGGCTGGTTAGGGGTAGTATCATGGTCAACAAAACGACTTTTAAAATGCTGGACCAAAATATCGATATAAATATCTATGTCGGGTGGTCAGCGATGGAATATGGTGCAGAGACGCCTTTCGCGGAAAATGTTAAACTAACTGGTATATCTGCGGAGTCGGGTCGCTGTGAAGATTGCTGCGTGACGAGGAGTGCTACATTGTTGCCCGTTGTAGTGAATACACAGAATACTATAAGCATTCCTAGCTTCTTATTCTCGGAAAAAGTACGATGGATTAACACAACCATTGATGTTAGGAACTGGGTGAGTCGAAAGTTGTTAAACGAAGGGATTGATGTATCAGATACTATCATTGGGCCACCACTCCTGAGGTCTGGTACGAGAGTCTCTGGCAAGGAGAGAGTGATCAAGAACGAAGCAATTAGGCAACCAAAGCCGGCATATATGGAAACCCAGTTGCCTGCGTAGGTGAGAGCCAGCAATACCGGGTAGGATAGCAGTTCACTCGATATTGCAGCAGCCGTAAGGTAAAAGAACATAGTTGACCAGCCAAGGATGTTAACACTTTGCACTAAGAGTAAACGAGAAAATATTGTTACTTTACCTTTGTGTATCTAGGCTGATGTCACTTGCTATCGTGAATATCATGGCCGAAAGGATAGTACCACCACCCCCTATTAGAGTCCAAATTCCCTTCAACCCCACCAACTGGATTGGGAACTGTTCTGGGAAACAGCCTGTGCAGTGGCAAGGTTAGTCAGCTTCAACGTATTCGAATATGTCGTGATTTATATACGCACATATAACCGCGTCAAATGCTTGTGCCAAGATGATACCTGCAATGGACAATTGAAGTACTCGTTTACGTCCATATGTATCAGCCGCCATACCACATGGTGCGGCGGCCAAAAAGCTCATGAAACTTTCGAAAGCGATTATCCAGCTTCGAAGTAGAGACAATTCGTTGTCTTCACAAGCATAGTTATCTAAAACATGTGTGTCATTCATGTTAGGTTTGTGACATAAAATGTCTTCTTGTATCTGGTTTATTGGTCTTATAATGAGTGTCTTTCCAATACCTACGAAGAAGAGCAACAGAAGGCATTGGACGATGATAGCCAGACGCGATATGGGAGCATTGCCAACAACAGGTTCTCTGGCATCGTCAACATGATGAGTTGCTCGGAGAAGGGGGGCTTGCTCCCCGTCCTGACTGGACGCCATGAAGACAAATCGAGGAGGGTGTTGTGTTGAGATTAAGATGATGAGAATGAAACGACACCTAAAGTCGGGTCTGGGAAGACTAGAACCAGATGAAGGTTCAAATTGTGGGAGTCCAAGGGAGGCATAGCATGATTTTACCCACCAGACACGGCACGGCTCATTAAGGTTGTCATCGGCTGAGGCAGAGAACAGGGGTCAGAATAATAGGGCAGGATCAAAGAAGCGTGAATGGTGTCCCTGGATATTAGGTTTAATTTCTGGTGAACCAACGCGCCTGTCTTGTTACGCATCACGTGTAGTAAAGTGACCCACATATATGTACTCTATCTATGCCTTTGCTTTTCCAGGCCCTCAGTTAGTCCTTCTTCTCAATCATCATTTACATTCAGTCTCCAGTTACACACAGCTTGTTGTTGCTATTTAGCTCAGTGCCCTGGTTTTCTTGTTTGTGCTCCTTGTCTGCCTTCGTAACCCCCTCCTTTAGCCTTCACATGTCCCCTGCAGATGCCAACAAATTTCATCAGTCATTCTCTCCACATCTATTGAGGGAATTAATATTAGTTGGTTATATCGTTACCGAAAGGCTAATGGATTCTCCCAATGTTACATGAATGCTTAATTTTTCTCCGTCGAGAGGTATAGCTCCGCCAGACTAGGCGCAAACGGGACACGGCCGCAGTTTATTTCAACCAACATTCTTGGCTTATGTCCAGGCGTCTTTTCTTTTCTCCCTCTTCTTTATTTAGTTGACTTGACTAGCGGATAGCACCAAATAGCAGTGCAAAGAAAATAGCTTTCCGAAGAACAAACAGAGTCGGTTTTAACATCGAGTATACGTGAAATCTAATAACGACAAGATTGTAAAAATATTTGGGGGAAGAAGTTTGAATGGGCAACAGAACTTGGTAAGATGATGAGAGCTAGATATGGCTATATTAAGTCAAATCCTTCCACGGTACACTGAAAATCAATGAGTCTATAGTTAATGAGAGTTGTTGGCCAGGCTCGGTATGGATCCAACGCCTGGTCTAGAGCCGTAGATTTCGGACCTGTACATGTGATTCCCCATCGAAATTTTTTTAATTGTAGTTGGACTCTGCAGGAGAATCCTATTTGGTGGTAGCAGTAACCTATCAGGTTATGTATACAATGGAGATTGGCATGCTCTCAACGAATATAAAATGCTCAAGTGGCCGGAGAATGAAAGAGTTAATTCAGCAAGCCTGTCTTTTCCCACCGATATAGAACCTTTTGATTCTACTATTCTTTTTTTCTTTCTAAAAGTTAAAGGAGGTTGTCCTGCGCCCTTTCCGTCCTTTTAAATTCTGATCGTTGGTATGTTGTCCTGCAGATGACCCGATAGTAATGACAATTAAACAAAATAGGAAACTGATATACTGGATCTTTGATTAGGAAATAAGATGCGTACATCCTTTGGACTGCCTGCGTTGGCCTTATTTAGCACCTGGGGCGGCGCCTACAGTCTTGCTGTAGATGCTGCTACACATGTTAACGCAACCACACGTGTGAACGGAACCACACCCGCCAAAGCCGCAGCGATCTTCGGACCTGTGGTAATGGTCCGTTGCAACGCCCATATTGCAGGTGCACACTACCTTGGCTGGTATCAAGAGTGTATGGACAAAATGGCTGGCCAATGGGGCTTCAGATCTGCAGCTGAGGTAGGCCATTTCGACGACGGATGGGGTTGCAAGTGTAGATATGCATCGTCCGCGCCGGGAGCTTGGAAAATTGCCCGACAGCATCTTTGGGACGCTGTTATAAGCAAAGATGTTTCCTGCAGCGATGCTCTCTACCTTAACTCGGAGATCGGCCTGGGGGTTACAGAATTGAGGTTCTGGTGCAGATAAATTGTATTATATTTGTAACCTCAACTTAGATTAATTGTCTACCGGTTGCATTATGTAGAATACTCTGGCTTAGGTGCAGGTATTATTATTATTTTTTAAATAGCACTTAGTATACTAGCTTACTTTATTTGTTTGTTTGTTTTATTATTAATGTTTATTAAGTAAGCTAGTTATATAATACTATATCTAGGTAAAAAGGAAAGTAGGAGCTGCTAGCTTAAATCCTATGTTTATTATATATTAATTAAAATAAAAGAAAGTATAAATAGTATTAATTTAAGTTTTATTAGGTTAGGCTGTAAGGGCTAGTTTTTTTTAATAATTTTTAAAAATCTTTATAGTTATTTAAGTTTAATAAATAAATAAAAAAAGTATTACAACCCGACTTTTATAGTCGCAACAATAGGCCTACAGGGTAGGCTAAACTGGATTAATGTTAGAACGATGGACTAATTAAAAGAGACTTATTAACTTAATTATTAAGTTAGTAAATTAACTTAATAAAACTTATTAATAAGTCCTATAAAATACTATAACTCTAGCTTATATAATTAAATATATAAGTTTACTTTACTATATTTATTTAAATAATTTAAATAGCTAGTTATTAATATAAAACTAAAATTAGAATATACTTCTAAAGCTTACTTACTAGTAATATTATATTATTATTATTGCCTATAGATCTCTTAATCTATTTACTAATATAAACTATAAGACTAGGTTTATCCTTTAGAAATCTTTTAAGCTACTAACTTTTATAAGACTTTAGTAACCAGGTTGTTATATATTAATAACTTTTATTTAAATAGTTACTAAATCTATAGGCAATAATAGAAATATAGCAGGCAATGGTTAGCAAGGAATTACTCCTATAGATAAAGAAACTTATAAATAATATCTATTACTTACTGTAAAGCAAGCAGTAATTAATCTACTCTTTATATAAATTAAAAAACTAAAAAATTAATTAAAAAATAAAAAAAAGGAAAAAGAAGAAATTATTAAGCTTAAATAACTTAATAACTTTAATAAAAATACCTTAAAGATAAATAAATTCTTTGCTAAACTAGATATTTATTTTAGTTACTTTTTAATTAATTTAAAAGACAATAAAGACTAAGTCTTTTTTATAGCTAACTGCCTTATAGAAACTGCTGTTAAATAGTTTAAACCTATTTTAATAAATTATAATGCTATAAAAAAAGAACCTACTAAAATAAAGATTTAAATAAATAAGATTTTTAGTAATTATAAAACCTTTAAAGATTAATTAAAAAAATCCTTTAGAACTATAAATAAAAAATAAAAAGTAAAAAAAGAACTTAGGTTTTTATAATAAAAAGGAGCCTTATTTAAGTATACTATTACCTTTTTATATTTATTTACTAAAGTTAATTAAACTAAAGAAATAAAAAAAAAAGTCTATTATAATAATATTAAGTCTAAAGTTAAAGATAAATTATTTAAAGAAAATTAAAGTAAAATTAAATTTATTAAATATATTTAAAAGGCTATTAATATTAATAATTATAACTTTAA